CTAACCAAGGGGGTGAAAGAGCTCTACAAGGAAAACTACAAACCACTGCTGAAAGAAATCACAGATGACACAAACAAATGGAAACACATACCATGCTCATGGATGGGTAGAATCAATATTGTGAAAATGACCATTCTGCCAAAAGCAATCTACAGACTCAATGCAATTCCCATCACAATTCCTATCCAAATACCACCAACGTTCTTCACAGAATTAGAAAAAAACTATTCTAAAATTCATATGGAACCAAAAAAGAGCCCGCATGGCCAATGCAAGACTAGGAAAAAAGAATAAATCTGGAGGCATCACATTACCTGATTTCAAACTATACTATAAACCACAGTCATCAAAACAGCATGGTACTGTTACAAAAATAGGCACATAGACAGTGGAAAAGAATAGAGAACCCAGAGATAAAGCCAAATACAGCCAACTGATCTTTGACAAAGTAAACAAAAACACAAAGTAGGGAAAGCATACCTTTTTCAACAAATGGTGCTGGGATAATCAGCTAGTCACATGTAGGAGAATGAAACTGGATCCTCATCTGTCACCTTTTACAAAAATCAACTCAAGATGGATTAAGGACTTAAATCTAAGACCTGAAACTATAAAAATTCTAGAAGATAACACTGGGAAAACCCTTCTAGACATTGGCTTGGACAAAGATTTCATGACGAAGAACCCAAAAGCAAATGTAATAAAAACAAAGATAAATTGCTAGGACTTAAAGAGGTTTTGCACGGTGAAAGGAACGGTCAGCAAGTAAACAGACAACCCACAGAGTGGGAAAAAGTCTTCACGATCTATACATCTGACAAAGGACTAATATCCAGAATCTACAATGAACTCATATCAACAAGAAAAAAACATCCCATCAAAAAGTGGGCTAATGACATGAATAGACAATTCTCAAAAGAAGATACACAAATGGCCAACAAACATATAAAAAATGCTCAATGTCACTAATGATCAGGGAAACGCAAATCAAAACCACAATGCGATACCACCTTACCCCTGCAAAACAAAACAAAACAAAACAAAAAACCCAAAACCAAACAAAAAAACCAGTAGATGTTGGCACGGCTGCAGTGAAGAGGGAACACTTCCACACTGCTGGTGGGAATGTAAACTAGTACAACCACAACGGAAAATAGTGTGGAGATTCTTTAAAGAACTAAAAGTAGAACTACCATTTGATCCAGCAATCCCACTACTGGGTATCTACTCAGAGGAAAAGAAGTCACTGTAAAAAAAGATATTTGTACATGTATGTTTATAGCAGCACAATTCGCAATTGCAAAAACATGGAACCAACCCAATGCTCATCAATCAACAAATGGATATACAAACTGTGCTCTGTGTGTGTGTGTGTGTGTGTGTGTGTGTGTGTGTATACGATGGAATACTACTCAGCCATAAAAAGGAATGAATTAATGGCATTCACAGTGACCAGGATGAGACTGGAGACTATTTCATGTGGAGTAACTCAGGAATGGAAAACCAAACATCATATGTTCTCACTCAAAAGTGGGAGTGAAGCTATGAGGATGCAAAGGCATAAGAATGACACAATGGACCTTGGGGACTAAGGGGGAAAGGGTAGGAAGGGGTGAGGGATAAAACACTACAAATAGGGTGCATGGTATACTGCCTGGGTGATGGGTGCACACAATCTCACAAATCACGACTAAATAAGTTACTCATGTAACCAAACACCACCTGTTTCCCAACAAACCATGGATATAACATTAGAAAAAAAGAGAATTAGCTAACTGGAAGCATGATTAAATCAACTTTTAAATAAACGGTTTTAAGAATAAAGAGGCAAAAAAAATACAAACTGACACACACATGATTATATTTTCAGGTAATTATATACGCATCCCCCTCAACTTCCCAGGTAATTATATACACATCCCCGCCCCCAACTTTTTATTGAGACAGGGTCTCACTCTGTCACCAGGCTGGAGGGTGGTGGTGTGATCATGGCTCACTGCAGCCTCAGCCTCCTGGGCTCAGTCTCCAATCCTCCTGCCTCAGTCTCCTGAGTAGCCAGGACCACAGGCACATGTCACTACACCCAGGTAATTTTTAAAAATTATTATCTGTAGAGATGGGGTCTCACTATGTTGCCCAGGCTGGTCTTGAACTCCCAGGCTCAAGCGATCCTCCTGCCTCAACCTCCCAAAGTCCTGGGATTATAGGCATGAGTTACTGTGCCTGCCCACGCATCCTCATTTTATAAAAATGCAACATTGGTTTTAACTTTTTAAAGGTATGTGCAGTTTACTTTGCTACCTGAGCTGACAATTAAGATCTAAAAGCAATGAACAAGAAGGCTTGGTGCCCATGAATAGAATTTAGGGCTATAATTAAGTATAATTCAAACAAGTTAATCAGACATATATATGTATAATCGCTATTGCACCACATGATTATTAGGTATAAGAAGCAAACTGTTATGTAAACGACGGTTACTATGGCTAAATAAATTAGTTTTCTATCTTTTTAAACTTCTCCATGTTATCTGTCAGTTTCAACACTGCTATTTTTTTCTGATGCCACATACAGACTGATTCTCACTGCACATAAATGGCAAAGTCGTTCCTCTGGCTCCCCACCTTCCAGAGACCTCTACCCTGCCTTGACTATATTCTTTTCGACACCTCCCTTGAGCACTGTGGAGTCTTTAGGCTTTCTGCTCTCCTCTCACTGAATCTGTGGAGTGCTAGCGGGGCCCTGAGCCACAGAGCAAGGCAGGGTTACCATGGCACAGGAATGGGAGGCCAGACCATAAAGGATGTGGAGACAGAGCAGTACAAAGACACAGGAGAATGGGCTCCTCAGTCAGCAGTTGGGAATATTCAGAGGAAGAACGGCTCTCCAGACATGATGACCTCAGCACTGTACCAGGGAATTACTATGCTCTAATCTGGAAAGTTTCTCTTTGTCTGCTTACCTGAAGCAATCCATGAAACCTTCTGTCTCTTTCACACAAATTGCTCTCATGTTAGAAACACCCTGTTGGTGTCCCAGCACTTTGGGAGGTCGAGGTGGGTGGATCACCTGAGGTCGGAAGTTCGAGATCAGCCTGACCAACATGGAGAAACCCCATCTCTACTAAAAATACAAAAATTAGCCAGGTGTGGTGGTGTACGCCTGCGGAATTCCAGCTACTCGGGAGGCTGAGGCAGGAGAATCACTTGAACCTGGGAGGCAGAGGTTGTGGTGTGCCAAGATAGTGCCATTGCACTCCAGCCTGGGCAACAAGAGCGAAACTCTGTCTCAAAAAAAAAAAAAAAAAAAAAAAAAAAGGAAACATCCTGTTGGCATTTATGTAGTTACCATATTACCTCCAAATGCAAATTTCATTCACTCTTGCTAAATTTTATCTTTTGGACTTACAGCCATAGTTCCAGCCCATTCAGAAATTTTATCATCAGGGTTCTGTCATCTAATGTAGTAGCCACCTCTAAAAGAATTGGGTAAGAAAATCCTGAATGCCCTTAAAGAACTTGTAATATATTTGTGCGGCTATTAACTGGAAGTTAGTTACTGTTACCACATGTCCAGGGAGATGACATATGCAGAAACAGCACCACGCTAGAAGTTAGACAACTTGCCTCCCAGCATGAACTAGCTCTGTGACTTCAGATAAGTATTTGTAGAACTGCAGTTCCCTCACAAGTAAAATGGAATGGAAACAGATAAGTTCTTATTTCTGGAATGAGTTTGTTTTTCATTAAAAGCATCTAGGGGATCAACAAGCAATTTTTAAGAAGGAGGGATGAAGAAAGAGAAGAAAGAATTCCTTTTCATTTCCTTTAAAATCACTCTAGTTACATGTCATTTAATAGCAATGACAAATGCTTTGTGAGGTCAGAGGTAGGGCAGGGCATGATAAGTGAGGGTTCAGGGACTTCTCCAATAATACACAATGGAAGATAGGTCTTCAACAAAGTGGATGCTGAGGAGGTTGGCAAGAGGGGAAGCCCACTCTGGAGGGAGAACTCTGAGAGCTCAAATGCAGAGGTGTGCCTATAAAGAGGGTCATGATTATACAGGAAAGTTTTAGGCAGGTTTGGAAAAAAAGACTCTGGGGCCAGGCTGTGGAAGCCACGGAATGCCAGGAAGAGAAGTTTGAGGTTTATCCTGAAGAATGGTAGTTTTCCAACTTTTTAACATTACTCCTGAAAGCAGGGGAACCCTTCTCAGTGGAAGTGTGCATGGGCTCTTAGGTTTTCCTACTTGCCTCCATGCAGCCCTTAGCCTACTAAACCCCTTTGCCTCTTGAAGCACAGTCTAAAACTACTGTTAAAGCCTGAAGTGTGACCTGACTCTTCAATATTCATGCATAATAAAAATAAAGCCCAAACAAAACAAAGCACTGCTATAGAGGGTGGGAATTCCTGAATATTGCTAAATTGGGAAATGGTATAATCAAATATAATCTGATGGCTATGCTAAGTATTAACTGTTCTGGCCAGAGGCATAGAATCAAGTCAGAGGAGTCCTGATATTAGAGGGATAAGATTTTAACTCAGAAGCAGTTGGATATATTTGAAAGTTCCAAAGACTTGCTTCCTATTGTCAAATCCATTTATTTCTGGTTAAAATGACTGTATTGAGATGGCCTACTGCTTCCTTGTCTGGCATTAGGGCAGTTATGATCAATGGGTGGGACTAAAAATCAGATTCCTATTCAGCACAAGGAAAAATTTTCTAACCATCAAGTATTTAACAATGGACCAGGCTGTCTGGCAAAGTAGAGCTTTTAGTGTCTGAAAGCATTCAAGCAGAGAATGAATTTATGAATTGGTGGTGTCTTGGAAGGGATTCTTATATTAAATAGGAAGTTGAAATGGAAGACCACTATGGAAGAAAAAAAAAAAAACAACTCCATGCATGCTTCAAAACAGGGCAAAGAGGCAGTGAAGAGTGGGGGATCAGGGTTTCTAGAGAAGGGGAGATTATAAATCATTTAGTAGTTACATTACCTTTGCAATTTTCCCCATTTCGTAAATGTCTGCTTTCTGATCTTCAATATCCATGAAAGCAGTTTCAATTCTGCTTAGAGTCTGTTCATGATTACTGCAGGTATCTGGGAGTCCTTCAGGGAAGTAGAATCGTGGAATGTTTATGGACAATGGTGCATTCACAACATTATTCACATGGGGAACCGGGGAGAGAGGTTGGGGACTACTTGGAGAGGTGGCTGGAGGTGGGAGTGGTGTTCCAGGTTTCTTTTCTGGTTTATTTTGAATCTAAAAGAAAAATAAGATTATGAGACACAAAAAATTTAAACAGCATTCATTTACTGAAAATCCTCACGAGCAATGTAAGAAACCACAATCAGAGACAGGAGAGATTAAGGACTTCATGTACTCTAAAGGGTGGTAAGCATGTTTCTAGGGAATGCTTATCTGCACTAAATTAATTAATTAATTAACATCTGCCAGTACTCAAGTTTACATAGATTTATGTTTAAAAAAATACATAGGTTTCTCCATCAGCTATTTGGCAGACATTTCAAAAGAATCAAAGAGCAATGTTAGTTGATATATTAAGAATCTCGAGGTGTATTCTCACTCTGTTGGAACTGGATTAATACATTCTTTCTGAAGACAGTTCTTGGTCTTTCTGTGACTTTTACCTCTCCTTCAACAGGCAAAAACAAGTTCCTTTTAAATACATATATCCAAAAAGTATTTGGGGAAGGGGCTCTTTTTACCTTCTCTAGTTTGACTTTGCTGAGGCAGAATCACTGCCAGCCCCTGATGCTGAGAAAATCTCTGTTAAGAAAATTAAAGCATTTTAATTCTGAAATGTCCCCTACCTGGCTGATTTATTTGCCACTAGGGCCACGCCATTTTCTGCAAGATACACATTTATCTTATTTGTGGTTTGCTCCAATAGGCAAAAACCATGGTCATTAATTTCATCACAACCAAACTCCCTTTACAGTTTAATAACTCATTTAGTTTATATTCTTCTTCTTTTAAAAAAATGATTTGAGGTGGCATACTATAAAGAGACATTAGAAAGGTCAGTAAAGAGTGGCGGGGAGGCAATGAGGAAACTGAGATTGCCCATGATTTAGGAAAAAGGGAGGGGAGGTACACCATTATTCAGGTAGAAATTTATCTTACCAATAAAGACTAAATTTACTTCTGAGATTCTTATCAGAAAAAGCAAAAACGATTCCATTAGAATTTTCATAGTTCTAATTTCTACTCTTAATTAATGGCCAGACTATAAAGGTTCATGAGCATGGTACTGTATTAGACGTTACATAAAGTATGAAAGATGAATATAACTGTTGACTAGCTAAATATATTTTATAGGTATTATGAACACCAAGTATTATTCAAATGTTCTTCCTTAAATTACCCTAATGCCATCTCTAAAGTTTGAACAATGATATATCTGTAAGAAGTAGATCTATCATATTTCTTCTTAACATATAGGTTTATAATATAATTTTAAACTTCAGTATAAAAATCTTAGCTACCCTTAAAAATGAGTTTTATAAAGAGATAAGATTTATTCATATAAATATATGAAAACGGTTACATCTCCTATTTTTGTCATAATAGCCCAATTTCCCTGTATTAATATCTGACATTAATACACAGAATGGAGTCTGCCCATATATTTAAGGCTATTAGGGATATGAAGGCCAGTTGTCACACCATGCCTTTGCTACAGTTATCAGGATGTTACCCGTATAAAGCAATAGTCAAGGAAGAAACAGAACAAAGGGAAGTGATGCCAATGAAACATGAAAAGCTTAAAACACTGATGGCTTACTAGTCTGTGACCTCAAAATGGTTACTTAACCTTTTAGAATTTCAATAATAAAACAGAAATTACAATGTCTACTTCTTAGAAGGCTGTTGTGAGATTAAAGGAAATTGTAAGATGTAATATAGGTAAAAGGTTCAGAACAGTGCTGGGCAGAGATCTATCTATCATGTAAGAAAATGAATGACAATACCAAAGGATGAGATTCTCAAAAAAATTAGATGAAGCATAATTGGGCATAATCCTTCAGATTCAATAATAAAATAATCATTTACATATGTAAAGCAATTTGAAGTTTATAAACCAGTTTTGAGTTAACAAATTGACAATCCATTTTAAGTCAACATTTCTCTCTGCCTCAATGCTAAATCTGTAAATATTACATAGTCCCAGAAGTCAATAAGTTATTATTATTGTTCATAGTGTTCTTAAAATTCTAAAGTAAGGCACAGAATTCTTCAGGGGCTTTACCTAGACCATTTATATTAGTGTCATTCCTTTCCATTATTCTATGCTGAAAGAGATTTGTGAGGTTCAGGTGTACAATCACCAATGTTTTCTGTGGTGTGACATCTACGGCAGTTATGCCCATAGAATTAAGACCACTGGTGCCAGTAGGGATGAAACCTGAGAGTCTCATGAATACACACTAGTGGGAAAGGTTTAGAGCAAGGTCTTCAATGTTAACTCTCTGCTTTTGCTTTGACAGAAATAAGTGATACTCAACACTGGCTGCCAAAGATTTTATTTGAATGGGAAAATATCTCATTATAAAATATTCTGTTCTGCTTTTCTTAGTGTACTTAACACAGAGCAATTCACTGATAGGCAACTATTTATTAATTCACTGGTCAATTCTGTATTTAATAAAACTGATGTTAATATTTAAAAGGAAAATAACACTAAAATAATGCATTTATTTTGAGCTTTTGGGTACTCAATTTACTTTCCATTGAGTTCTACAGGAGACATATAATTTAAACCTTAAAGTAGCTGAATAAAACTGGTTGTTTACAAACATTATGGAAGAAAACCTAGTAATATAAATTCTGCCAAATTTATTGGCAAGTTTAGCATCTGCTCACTTTGGATACAGTGGTTTCAGTCTAGTCTAGGAGCAGCATTAGAATATAATTAGCTGGGTAAAGTATTTCAATTCTCCATTTCAGTCCTTTGCTATAAACACAGTATCACTTAGATATTCATTCAGAATAGTTTCCTTGTGCTATTACGTCACTGTAGCATTTCCAATATTTGATCATTTTTGACCTACAAAAAAAGCAATTTCATATTTACCCAAATAATTTGAGATTATTCTGGGTCAGAATAACCATAAAACTATGGTTTCTTGCCGGATTTTGGATGACCAGCATTTGTACAGTCCTTGATTTATATTGTAGTCAATGTTAGGCACGTGTTTGGTGAAACACTGCCATAGATTTTAAGCAAGCAAGTAGGGACTCTGCAAAATACTCATCATAGGCAGAAACGACTCAATTGCACAGCCTGCTTAGGGAAGACATTTTTTCACAATCTAGAAGTAACCACCATTCTTTGCTATCTACATACATTACGACACACACATACACAATTGTCTATATAGACAAATATGTCTTGTTTTTAAAAAAGATTACCAGGATTAACACACTTCTTAAACAAACATTTGTTACAGAGGTGTATGCATGCTAATATATAATCTATTGATTCAAAGTGCAAACAAGGCTTTTAATACAGAAATTCTAGTTTCTCAAGGATATTTCTATTAAAAATTCCAGTAATTTTCTAGCTAAATTGTAAAACGTTCGTTAAGTTGTATTTGTTGTCTCTAAAACTGGATTCCTTCTCCACAAGAGAAAAATGTGAGTACTGTACTCCAGGTCCAAAAGGTCTATTTTTAAACCTGTTGGAATCCCTCTGCAAATAGCTTTCTGCAAATAGCTGAATAGAGGACACACATTAATTCCTTGATCTAATATCAAGATACAAGGGAGCTGTAAAATTATTTGTGAGTTAGTTCACTGGATGGTTTTATTAGTAATAAAAATATTAAAAAAAAAAAAAACACCCAAATTTCAAACCTGTGTCTGCTGAAATGACTTCAGCCGCTTCTTAAACCGTGAAGGGAGAACAAAATCACAGCCCCTTGCCAGGAAAGCTAGCTCTCCCCTTAAATCCGGGTCCCTTCGTAGAGATGTTTCCTTGATCATCATCTTTGAAAAGTGAATGTTTACTTCGCAACTGTCCAGCACACTTCTGAAGATAATCAGATTTAGCAAGTTGTCAATCTTGTCAGGTAGGAAGATTTTTTTCTTCTTATCTCCCAAAGAAATGAAATTCAAGCATTGTGCTCTCCCAGCCTCCACGGACCACAATCTATGCTTGTCCTGACATGCAGCTGGTTCCCAAATACAGTCTGTGGCTCCCAATACCTGTTCATAATTTTCAAGTTATAAACACAGCCTGCAACGGGCCTGTTGCTCCTTGTTGGAAGCTTTATGTCAAATTGACCTGCACATGTTGAGAATATGGAGCCTTCTGGGAAAGGAAGCACCCACTACTCTGTGTACCAAAGTTAGAAACATTACAGCTGGACCTAAAAATAGTACCTTCTCAGATAATGCTAACTTCTTAAACTCAGAGTATGTGAGGTGTCAATCCACATAAAGCAGTTTCTTTTCAAACTAGAAGAAAAAGAGCATGTAGAACATTTTCAGCTTTTTCTCTTTAATATTTTATAAAAAAAAAGAACAGGATGCTGAACTTTGAATTTGAAACTATTATTTTAAGAATAGTTTTTTATTTTTTATTCGAAGCAAAGTAAATATCCAAAACTCTCCAGATCTCTCCCAGTCAAAATAAGAAGAAAAACAGAAACTTTCATTCTCAAATGGGAATTTACAAAAAGATCTGTTGATCTCAGATTTAACATTTTTTAAAGAAAAAGACTATCTTAGTTATCAAACATTTTCTTGAACTGATTATGAACATACTGAAAATTCATTCTCAGAAGTATTGGTTAAGAAAGTAGAACAACTGAATGCCATAGAAAATAAGTTTCAGATACATATAAGCAAGTCAAATGTGGCTAAAACAAAAAGGACAGAAAAGATGATCAAACAGCAATGACACAGTACATACTGAATTTGTAAGATTTCTTCCTTTGAGAAGCTTTAAAGAAATCAGTTAAGATTTTAAAAATACCTATTATTTCATCATATATTAAATATCTGCCTCATATAGTTATTTGTAAGTGAATCATAAAGTAAAGTCATCCTTTGGTAACTGTGGGGGATTGGTTCCAGGACCCCCCACGGACCAAAATCCATGGCTGCTCAAGTCTCTTATATAAAACGTGTAATATTTGCATACAACCTACTCACATTCTCCCATATACTTTAAAGCATCTCTAGATTACTTGTAATACCTAATACAAGTCTTAAGTAAATAGCTGTTATACTCC